TTTTTTTTTTTTGAGATGGATTTTCACTCTTGTTGCCCAGGCTGGAGCGCAGTGGTGCGATTTCAGCTCACCACTATCTCCACCTGCTGGGTTCAAGTGATTCTCCTGCCTCAGCCTCCCGAATAGCTGAGATTACAGGCATACGCCACCACACCTGGCTAATTCAGACTGGTCTCGAACTCCTGACCTCAGGTGATCCGTCTACCGTTGCCTCCCAAAGTGCTGGGATTACAGGTGTGAGCCACTCAGCCCAGTCTTATCTTTTTTTTTTTAATTGGGCAACACTTCATTCCATAAAATAGAATGAGTATTCCCAAGCTCTTGTTTTTTATAACTAGCTATAACTTTTTTTTTTCGAGACGGAGTCTTGCATTGTCACCCATGCTGGAGTCTGGAGTGCAGTGGCATGATGTTGGCTCACTGCAACCTCCGCCTCCCGGGTTCAAGAAATTCTGTTGCCTCAGCCTTCCAAGTAGCTGGGATTACAGGCACATGCCACCACACCCGGCTACTTTTTGTGTTTTTAGTACAGAGAGGGTTTCACTCTGTTGGCCAGGCTGGTCTCGAGCTCCTGACCTCGTGTTCCACCCACCTTGACTTTCCAAAGTGCTGGGATTACAGTCATGAGCCACCACACCTCGCCAACTAGCTGTAACTTTTTAAGAAAGATCATGTTTTGCTATATAGGTTAAAGCTTACATCTTGTACCTGGAAAAGTTCACAAAGAACTTTTTTTGGAAATGAATTTTTTTAAAAAACAGATGGTAGATATTGTAAGGTTTTATTCAATTTCTGATGCTTACGTTATAGCCCAGAAAATGATTGTTAAGCAAAATGAAGAAACCAAATTTCCTTCTTTTGAAGTTCTCTCCTGGGAAGTGAATGAATCATAAATTGCCTATGTATCACATTTTATTTGTTAAATAAGTATTTCTTTTTAAAAATCGACCTGTGATTAATATATCCATATTATTTGTTTGGGTTTTTTGTTTTTTAGCGACAGAGTCTCGCTCTGTTCCAGGCTGGAGTGCAGTCATGGCTCACTGCAGCCGTGAACTCCTGGGCTCAAGCAATCCTCCTGCCAAGGCCTCCTGAGTAGGTGGGACTAGAGGGGCACGCCACCACACCCTGCTAATTTTTTTTTTTTTTTTTTTTTTTGAGATGGAGTCTCGAATATTGATCTGTTGCCCAGGTTGGGTTGCAGTGGCACAATCTTAGCTCACTGCATCTTCCGCCTCCCAGGTTCAAGCAATTCTCCTGCCTCAGCCTCCTGAGTAGCAGGGATTACAGGTGCCTGCCACCACACCTGGCTAATTTTTTTGTATTTTTAGTAGGATGGATTTTCATCACGTTGGCCACCCTGGTCTCCAATTCCTGACCTCAGGTGATCGGCTCACCTTGGTCTCCCAAAGTGCAGGGGTTATAAGCGTCAGGGACCCGGCCTGGCCACACCAGGCTAATTTAAAAAAAATTTTTGTAGAAATGTGGTCTTGCTGTGTTGCCCAGGCTGATCTCTAACTCTTGAGCTAAAGTAACCCTCCTGCCTCAGCCTCCCAGATTGCTAGAATTACAGATGTGAGCCCCCATGCCCAGCCAATATCCTTGTTCTTTTTCTTCTTTTTTAAAATTTATATTTATTTATTTAGAGATGGAGTCCCACTCTCTTGCCAGGCTGGAGTGCAGTGGCGCCATCTTGACTCACTGCAACCTCTGCCTCCCAGGTTCAAGCGATTCTCTTGCTTCAGCCTCCCAAGTAGCTGGGATTACAGGCACGTACCACCACACCCAGCTAATTTTTGTATTTTTAGAAGAGACAGGGTTTTACCATATTGGCCAGGATGGTCTCAATCTCTTGACCTTGTGATTCACCCGCCTCGGCATCCCAAAGTGTTGGGATTACAGGCATGGGCCACCAAGCCCAGCCTATTTTTAATTTTTTTTTTTGTTTTTTTTGTTATAGACAGGGTCTTGTTATATTGCCCTGACTTGTCTTGAACTGTGGGTTCAAGCAGTCCTCCCACTTTGGCCTCCCAAAGTGCTAAAACACAGGTGTGAGCAACTGTGCCTGGCCAATATCCATATTCTTGATATTAAAGTTAGAAGCCAATAAAGGAAGATTGAGTGGTTTGGTGTTGAAGCAGTTCCTCCTCTTCTATATCCTCACAGGCTTACACAGCTTACCTCTCAGGAATGCTGCGTTTTGAACATCAAGAATGGAAAGCCGCCATTGAGGCTTTTAACAAATGCAAGTAAGTCCTATAGTCCAAAGGCTGTGGCCAGTTTTAATTATAGATAGTCAGATTTAAGCTGCAGATCAGGTAGTGGATTATTTCTGTGAAAGTGAGGGTGACTTTTCTTTCCTGTAGAAATGTTGATGATTCTCTTTCATCTTTAGAGCATGCCAGTTATGGTAGTTGTTAGAAGAGCTTCCAAGGGCCATAATTTGTTTTTAGTCACTGTGTTCCCCATGAGTTTTTCTTTTATACAGCTGATGTAAAACCTGACTTTTCTTTTCTCTCAGAACTATCTATGAGAAGCTAGCCAGTGCTTTCACAGAGGAGCAGGCTGTGCTGTATAACCAACGTGTGGAAGAGATTTCCCCTAACATCCGCTATTGTGCATATAATATTGGTGAGCAGGGATCAAGGCATTATACTCAACTTGAGAATTGACAGGTGGCCCAGTGGGCGTTCATTGCAGAGATCCTAGAGAGTCGACATAACTTTCTTCTCCTCCCTTTGCCTCCACCTTTGGCCTGAGTTTTGGTTGATGGCAAAAGCAGAATTGTTGAAGCCAACCCAGCTCAAAATTACAGAAGATAGTTCTGCTTCTGTGTCTGTCCTGCTGTGCTGTGTACCCCTGAAGAGCAGTCTTGAGTCTCCTGAGTCTCTGGCTGAGTTCGTTTTTCACTTTTTGCTTTTTTTTT